AACTATGTGCACTTAACTAGCTAGTATTCATAAAATCACTCGCCTCCTCTCTCATGAAAAGCCTAGGGTTTCTCTGTCTCCCGGTGGTGCTCTCTTGTGGCCTTAGCCCGGCCCTTGCCGGCGGGAGGGTTATGTTTTTAGATGTTTCATCGAGTCTTCTTAGAGTTTGTGTCTTGCTCAGGAAGATGAGAGGATGGCAGTTCCCTGAAGATGGAATAAGGTTCTCCCCGCTTAGCCCCGTCCTGGCGGTGCAACTAGCATCATCGGTGGGCGTGTGGAGGTGTGTCTCTGATGGATCTGTCCTTGGTGGATTTGCTCGGATCTGGTCGTAGTTCGTGTATGTTTGTGTTTCTTCAGGTTGGATCCTTCTATCTACGCTACTCTTCATCGACGGCGATTGTTGTTCTGCTGGTTCTATGGGGACTTAGCACGACGACTTTCTGATTGTGTACTACAACAAGTTTTGTCTGGCTTCGGCGAGGGAGAGACGATGGCGGCGCCGTGTCTTCGGATTGCTTCAGTGTTTGTAGTTGTTACTAGGTGATCTACGGATCTAAATATATTTTTTATGTTCGTTGTACTGTCATGATTAAAGATGAATAGATTGAAAATTTCCTCAAAAGGAAAACTAGCTTAGTATCCAATGGAAGAAAATCACTGCTAGGGTGCTTTGGCATGCCCATCATGCCATGCTTTGACCGCTTACCCGGTGAAACATGCACCACACGTGCCTGCCCTTTGACATAATCCGGCGCCCCCCGTTTGACTTCGAGCACGGGAGTCTAATTTGGCTGCCCGGGAATACGACCCTTTTTGTACGTTTCGCTCTGGATAATGGTTATGAATTTGGTACTTGGACTCTGTTAATTGCTGGATGTTGTACTATGCATCAGAGGAAGTGCTACTTTTTAAATTTCCAAATGGCATATTCGGCTGACTTGTACGTATTATGATCTTTATGGTATACAGAGGGAGTAAACGAGACACGTATTACAATGCAAAAAGTGCTGCCTTTTATCTGCTTATTTCTTTTTAATGAAAGGGACTGGACTAGCCCCGAACCACCGATTCCTTCCTTAAATGAAAGCGATGGAAAGTCACACTCAACTCACTAGGGAGGTCCAAACCAGGGCCCTGTCTCGTTGATACCCTACGGCAGGGCGATGGGCTACCTTCGCGTACGTATCTTTGGTACGCATACGTGCACGGTCACTAGGGATGCAGATTTAGAACCTTCAGGGGTGCTTTTCAACCCTACGTAGTTCGACTATCTTTTTAAAATTCACCTCATCTTTTGTAAATTAGTTCATTTGATTGAACTAGAGGGTCGGAGGGTACCCTTTAGGTTCCAAATTTGTATCCCTGACGGTCACATGCCCGATAGTTACTTGTGATGAGGTTTAACGTTGAACGGAGATGTGAACGTGTTTGCTTGTACTTGGCATTTTTGTATTTAATCATGTGTGTCTTTATTTTCATGTGGCTTTACGGTCCCACTCATCA